AGTGGAACAGTCATGGAACCACTAAAAAATAGCTAATTATCATGCAAATTAGGTAATTAATATGCACAGATTTTTACCAAAAATTAATCAAATCTGCGCATATGTTCAGAGCATCTATGTACCAAGTTTCATCAAAATCCAATGAGTGGTTCTTTAGATATCAGTGGAACAGTCATAGAACAGCTAAAAATTAGCTAATTATCATGCAAATTAGGTAATTAACGAGCATGGATTTTTACCAAAACCTAATCAAATCTGCGCATTGGCCCAGAGCATCTATGCACCAAGTTTCATCAAAAACCAATGTATGGTTCTTGAGATAGCAGTGGAACAGTCGGACACACATACACACATACACACATACACACATACACACATACAGACACACTAACTGCAAAGACTCCCATTTTGTGCTTCGCACATGGGAGTCAAAAACCGCAATAACTGGTATCATATAGGCTATCTCACTTTGTATCAAAAGTCGGACTCAAAAGCCATGATTACAACATCTGTTCGGTGAAGAGTTTCCGAGGACCCTCCTATATTTTTATGTTGTGCCAGTAGTGTTGTAGTCAGACCAGCTGCTTTGCCACGTTTTTGGATTTCTTTCAGCTTGTGGTGTATAAGTTGTCATTGTACACCTCTGCCCCGTGCCACTTTATTAGATTCTACTGTATCACCATGATTTTGAATTTACATGTATAAACTTAAATCTAAAGTTTGCAATTATCCATACTTACACATAATAGCTTTCACTGAGGAGAAAATACTATTAACCACAATGGCTAAATACTACATTATTTTCCTTAGTTATTTTCCACTTCGCCAATGGGGAGAGGTAAAAATCAATAATTCATCAAAAAAATTGGAGAATGAAATGTGCTACAGTGACTTTATATCAAACGTTTTTTTCCCTGATGATTATTATTGTGACATGCTTTTAAATTATGACACTTTCAGCAGAATTATTCATGCTTATTCATTTAATTACTATTACTTAGCCAGTGATGGCGAAAGTGACACGATTTATTGCACCAAATTGTAAATTAAATTCACCATTGGCGACTGACGAGAAGTTAACGAAAGCCCGGTATATACAAGTAGCATACTGTGGAATACTTTATTTTCGCTGGAATAAATTTTCGCTGAACAGGCTTTTTGGGCGTTTTGCTTGGAATTTATTTTCACTGATTTTTGATGAGTTTAATGTGAAATATAGGAAAAAAAGTATATTCGCTGGATTTTATTTTCACGGAATCATCCCTTCAGCGAAAATAGCGAAAATAAATTCTAAGCGAAAATAAAGTATTCTACAGTATTATGTAGTAGCATGTTCATAAATGTATTGACACAAAATCCTGTTTATTTTCCCTGAATTCTAGTTTGCGTGTCAGAAATGGGACATCGATACATTCACATAAAAAATAAAGGCCTGAACTCTTCATACCCTTCAGTCTCAAAAACATTTTTACGGAAATGTTCCGTTAAGCAGATTGTGGTCAACGGACATATCACACAATGAGTCAGGTGGTAGCACGAGATAATTTTCTTTACGAGTCCTTTTAACGATGGCAAAGATTTGCTTTGTTTTCTAAATTTTGATGTATTTAAAAAAATTTCGAAAAATATTTTCTCAGTCTGGGCAAAAAGAAAAGGTTGTTCACTGTGCTGTATTTCCATTTGCAAGAAATTCGTTGGTTTTTTTGAACTGTTTCTTTTCTTTCGTTTTTTTCCTGAGTGAGTTACCATATGGTGATTCAATGTTGTTCTCAAGGCAAACTTCCGTTCACATAATTCACACTGATATGGTTTCTCACCAGTGTGTGTTCTCATGTGCCAGTCCAGTGACTGCTTTGAACTCAGAGATTTTGAGCACTGAATACATCGATATAGTTTCTCCCCGGTGTGCTTTCTCAAATGCTGCTCAAGGTAATCCTTACGTGCAAATCGCGTAGCACATAGTTCACATTGGAATGGTTTTTCCCCGGTATGAATTCGCAGATGATGTTCCAAGTTGCCTTTCTGACCAAATCGTTTTTCACAGAGCTCACACTGGAACGGTTTCAAACCTGTGTGTATTTTTTGATGATTATCCAAAGCACTGTTTTGTGTGAAGCATTTATGGCACTTTTTACATTTAAACGGACGCTCACCAGTATGACTTCGCATATGCATTTCCAAAGCCTGTTTGGACCTTGAGCTTTTATCACACAACGAGCAAGGGAATGGTTTCTCACCTGTGTGCGTCCTCTGGTGGTATTTCAAATGACCTTTGCGGGAGAATCTTTTGTTGCAAATTTCACATGCATGGGGTTTATCACCTGAATGTGCTTGTACGTGGTAGTCGAGCGATTGCCGAGAACGGAACGACCGATCGCATAATAGGCAAGGGTACGGTGACTCACCAGTATGTGTTCTCATATGGTAGGTGAAGGATTGTTTTAGTTTATATTCTTTATGACAATGCAGACATTGGTATGGTGTCTCATCATTGTGTGCTCTAATATGACGAGCCAAGTGGTGTTTCTGTGGATAACTCTTGTCACAAATTTGACACTTGTATGCTTTGACATCCACTGAAATCTCAGTGTGTTCACTTTTCCTGGTTCCTTCTTGCATGCTTCTTCTAGAAGGCGGTTGCACATCTACCAGAAAGTCAATATAACCTTTAATCAGCTAAGATGTTCAATTCACAAGTAACATACATCTGAAATATAACAAAAACCACACGTCAATGATTATCTTTGCAAATTAAATATTTTTGTTCAAATAATATATATGATCGTGCAAGGAGTGATAGCCATCTCTGCATACACATTCAAGTTGTGAAAGAAGTTGAGTAATACCCCTCTCTCCCTCCCTCTACAGTGAAGTGATCGGGACTAAAATACTTGTACCAACACAAAGATTCAGCGTAATCATTCCATATTTGGAATTCACGTTTCCAAATATTGGTATGTGAAAATACCCAGTGCAATACTGCAAAATTACAGCACGCTGTAACTCATGGCGCTGCGGTGACTGATGTATAATAATAATTGTTAACTCATATCTCCTGGAGAAGAAAAAAACGGCCCTACAGAACGAAACCAATAAATATGTAAAGCTGTCAGATATGTAATGCAGTTAGATGGTAGAAAAATACTATCATCATCACAAACCTGTTCTCTTGAAGAATGTATTTTTCTCAATATTCCTGTCTCGCTCGAGGCAACATTACCAGACAATCCTCAGGATTTTTTTTTTTTTTTCGTTTTTATTACCTGTACTAGGCTCATTTTGTTCGTCTTGGATCCCCGTTAACGGGATTACCTCACGATGGACGAAATAACTCTAGACCCCCCCCCCACCGTGTT